CAGCCACGATCACAAACACTTTCAGCCAAGTTTTGACACAGTCACCATTTTGTGAAACACACATATTAGCTATGTGATTACTTTTCACACCATTGATTTGTTTGTGCTGCAAGACACTGTGCCAGACACAAGCAAGGAGCGCTATGCTCAGCTTAAGTTGCCAGTTTGACGATAATAACAAATTCCTTTCTAGTTAGTTTCCTCCATTAGAACAAAGCAGCATATTCACTATATATTCTATGCAAATATATATTCTCAATATACTGTATCTATACATAGCTATATATAATCTATCTATAGAAGTCTATATTCAATATGTATATATAGAATTTGGTAGGGTTTTAAAACATTCAAGGTACATTCACTTACCCTGTGATTTTTTTCGTACGAAAAGGTTACACAGTCTGACAAATGTTTAAACCACATCTACTACCCCTCTACAAGTCCGTACCCCAACCAATAAACACAACATTGAACATCCCCCATTGTAAGAAGCAAACAGAAGAGAAAACAGGCTTTTCTGCTCGGTTTCCAATGACCAATCATAACATTAATAGAACATACATAAAAGTCTACTTCAGTCTAGTATTCACACCCCTTTTGTTACTGGCCTACACACGATACTCCATAATGTCAAAGTGAGATTATGTTTTTAGAAATGTTTTGAAAAGCGGAAATGTCTTCAGTCAATAAGTATACAACCCTTTGTTATGGCAAGCCTAAATAAGTTCAGGAGTACAAATGTGCTTAACAAGTCACATAATAAGTTGCATGGACTCTGTGTGCAATAATAGTGTTTAACATGATTTTTGAAAGGTTTTTGAAAAAGAAAGCATACATTGAATATCCCTTTGAGCATTACACTTTGGATGGTGTGTATTAATCACCATCCAAAGTGTATTAATTACACTTTGGATGGTGTATCAATACACCCAGTCACTACAAAGATACAGGCGTCCTTACTAACTCTGTTGCCGTAGAGGAAGGAAACTGTTCAGGGATTTCGCCATGAGGCCAATGGTGACTTTAAAATAGTTACAGAGTTTAATGGCTGTGATATGGGAAAACTGAGGATGGATCAACCCAATTGTAGTTAGTCCACAATACTAACCTAATTGACATAGTAAAAAGAAGGAAGCATACAAATATTAAAAAACATGCATCCTGTTTGCAACTACGCGTTAAAGTAATACTGCAAAATATTTGGCAAAGTAATTAACTTTCTGTCCTGAATACAAAGTGTTATGTTTGGGGCAAATCCAATACAACACATTACTGAGTACCACTCTCCATATTTTCAAGCATAGTGGTGGCTGCATCATGTTATGGGTATGATTGCAATCATTAAGGACTGGGGAGTTTTTCAGGATAAAAAAGAAATGAAATGGAGTAAGCACAGGCAAAATCCTAGAGGAAAACCTGGTTCAGTCTGCTTTCCACCAGACACTGGGAGATAAATTCACCTTTCTGCAGGACAATAACCTAAAACACAAGGCCAAATCTACACTGGAGTTGATTACCAAGAAGACAGTGAATGTTCCTGAGTGGCGGAGTTACAGTTTTGACTTAAATCTGCTTGAAAATCTATGGCAAAAAATGGTTGTCTAGCAATGACCAACAACCAATTTGACAGAGCTTTAAGAATGTTGCAAAGAATAATTGGCAAATATTGTACAATCCAGGTGTGCAAAGCTCTTAGTCTTACCCAGAAAGACTCACAGCTGTAATCGCTGCCAAAGGGGATTCTATGTATTGACTAAGGGGTGTGAATACTTATGTAAATTAGATATTTCTGTATTTCATTTTCAATAAATTTGTAAAAATGTCTAAAAACATGTTTTCACTTTGTCATTGTGGGGTATTGTGTGTAAATGGGATAGTGAGATAAAACATATATTTAATCAATTTTGAATTCAGGCTGAAACATAACAAAATGTGGAATAATTCAAGGGATATGAATACTTTCTGAAGGCACTATAAAAATGTAATATTTTTGAAGACATACCGACAGTTGCATTTTTCTCTTGAACACACCAATTCCTCAGGTTTATACTTAATAATAGCTGGCAGCATTAGTTCAACGTTTACGTAACGTCTTCATAATGTAATACACTGCTCAAAAAAATAAAGGGAACACTAAAATAACACATCCTAGATCTGAATGAATGAAATAATCTTATTAAATACTTTTTTCTTTACATAGTTGAATGTGCTGACAACAAAATCACACAAAAATTATCATTGGAAATCAAATTTATCAACCCATGGAGGTCTGGATTTGGAGTCACCCTCAAAATTAAAGTGGAAAACCACACTACAGGCTGATCCAACTTTGATGTAATGTCCTTAAAACAAGTCAAAATGAGGCTCAGTAGTGTGTGTGGCCTCCACGTGCCTGTATGACCTCACCTACAACGCCTGGGCATGCTCCTGATGAGGTGGCGGATGGTCTCCTGAGGGATCTCCTCCCAGACCTGGACTAAAGCATCCGCCAACTCCTGGACAGTCTGTGGTGCAACGTGGCGTTGGTGGATGGAGCGAGACATGATGTCCCAGATGTGCTCAATTGGATTCAGGTCTGGGGAACGGGCGGGCCAGTCCATAGCATCAATGCCTTCCTCTTGCAGGAACTGCTGACACACTCCAGCCACATGAGGTCTAGCATTGTCCTGCATTAGGAGGAACCCAGGGCCAACCGCACCAGCATATGGTCTCACAAGGGGTCTGAGGATCTCATCTCGGTACCTAATGGCAGTCAGGCTACCTCTGGCGAGCACATGGAGGGCTGTGCGGCCCCCCCAAAGAAATGCCACCCCACCCCATGACTGACCCACCGCCAAACCGGTCATGCTGGAGGATGTTGCAGGCAGCAGAACGTTCTCCACGGCGTCTCCAGACTCTGTCACGTCTGTCACATGTGCTCAGTGTGAACCTGCTTTCATCTGTGAAGAGCACAGGGCGCCAGTGGCGAATTTGCCAATCTTGGTGTTCTCTGGCAAATACCAAACGTCCTGCACGGTGTTGGGCTGTAAGCACAACCCCCACCTGTGGACGTCGGGCCCTCATACCACCCTCATGGAGTCTGTTTCTGACCGTTTGAGCAGACACATGCACATTTGTGGCCTGCTGGAGGTCATTTTGCAGGGCTCTGGCAGTGCTCCTCCTGCTCCTCCTTGCACAAAGGCGGAAGTAGCGGTCCTGCTGCTGGGTTGTTGCCCTCCTACGGCCTCCTCCACGTCTCCTGATGTACTGGCCTGTCTCCTGGTAACGCCTCCATGCTCTGGACACTACGCTGACAGACACAGCAAACCTTCTTGCCACAGCTCGCATTGATGTGCCATCCTGGATGAGCTGCACTACCTGAGCCACTTGTGTAGGTTGTAGACTCCGTCTCATGCTACCACTAGAGTGAAAGCACCGCCAGCATTCAAAAGTGACCAAAACATCAGCCAGGAAGCATAGAAACTGAGAAGTGGTCTGTGGTCACCACCTGCAAAACCAGTCCTTTATTGGGGGTGTCTTGCTAATTGCCTATAATTTCCACCTGTTGTCTATTCCATTTGCATAACAGCATGTGAAATGTATTGTCAATCAGTGTTGCTTCCTAAGTGGACAGTTTGATTTCACAGAAGTGTGATTGACTTGGAGTTCCATTGTGTTGTTTAAGTGTTCCCTTTATTTTTTTGAGCAATGTAGTAACAAATAGAGCTAGTTTTGTCAGTAGTCAATCAATCACCCTTTCCATTACCACAGAGTACACAAACCAATATATATAATAATATATAATCTGTTTATAAGTCCTTTATTGATTATTAGCCAGATGTAAGGTGCTCAATCTATTTTCAGAAGGCATCAGACGTTTCAGTCAGGTGCTGGTGTACTGAGAAGGTTTTTCTCTCAAGGTCAAAATAGCTAGGGACCCTGCTGTAACACTCGGTTGAATTGGAAAGTTTTCTTTCTAAAGTCACAACCTAGACTTTAGACTTCAGTCAATCATGTACCATATAAGGCACAGGTGTCAAACTCATTCCACGGAGGGCTGAGTGGCTGCGGGTACTTGTACTTGACTGATTAATTCAGGTCACTAATTAATAAGGAACTCCCCACACCTGGTTGTCTAGGGCTTAATGGAAAGGAAAAAACAAAAACCTGCAGACACTAGGCCCTCCATGGAATGAGTTTGACACCCCTGATATAAGGTCTATATTTAGTTTTCAACCAAAAAGTAATTTCAAGACCAATAGACAGACTTAGGTACAGTATGCCCTTCTTACTACCGGTAGGCTATTATGCTTACTCACGTCATTTAACAAACAGTTTCACTATGTCTGTGCCCAATAACGTATCTAAAAAAAATTAACTTAAAAACAATCCTTTCCATTTTATTAAACAAAAATATTAAACACACCAAACAAAAAAAAAACTGAACACAAAATCAAAACAGACAAAAAAACTAACAAAAAAGTGCAGTCCATAAAACACCATATAATAATTACTAAACAAACTAACCTGTGCTATAACTGACATCTGTACGGCCCAATACCATTTTCACACTACTGAGCCGAGCTGCACTGTACTGCACTGGCCTGGTTAGTGGTTAGGCATCCACCATTCCGTAGTTTCTGGAACTGTGGTGCAAAGGACCATTTGAAAATAAAATGTCCCCACTGTATGGTTGGGGTCAGCTCGATAGTGTTTAAAGGGAATAACTGAGTGTGTTTGAGAGCAGCCCACTGTGCAGGATGGGCTCAGACAGACACAGACAGTGGGTGTGTTCCAGGTTGTCTTTATTGCAGTCAGGCTGCCCCGATTATTAGCTCTCACAATGCCTGGAGAGATGTTTAACATCTGAAACCATGTTAATATGGTATAGCAATCTTCTGATGCACTGTTTGGGCCTTTCACTTCATTAGAAGTTAAAAGGAAATCAGTGAAGTCAATCTTCTGAGATGTGCAGCGTGACTGCCACAGAGACAACCTGAAACGTGTCCAGTGCCATGTTAATGTGGGCTGTGAGAGGGCGAGTCCATCTCCCTGTCCCCTGAGTAGGAGCTGAGGGCCTCCCAGAGTACCTGGGTCTCCTCACAGTGGTGGTGGCCTGTCCAGTGCTCCATCACCTCATCCTTACTGTCCAGGACCTGGCTGCACAGCACACAGTTAAACACTGAGCCCTGCCCGAGGACCCCTCGCCCTTCTCGGGCCGAGCAGCCGGTCGGCTCCCCCTCTCCGTCTCCATCCCCATCGTCCTCCGCCCCCCCCTGGTGGTGGGAGAGGATATGACGCTTCAGCTTGGAGAAGGAGAAGAACTCTTCGTCACAGCTCCCGCACCGGACCAGGTTCCTCTTCTCGTTGAGCTGGCGCCAGTAGTGGGCGGCGTGTTTCACCAGCTCATCCTCAGCCTCCCTGCCCCCTTGGAGTGCCCCTCCCAGCCCCCCAGCCCCATCCCGCAGGTGCACCTGCACCTCCTCCCCGTGCACGTAGAGCAGGTGCAGCTTCATGTCGGCGAAGGTGGGGGTGATGGCCTGACAGCGGCCACACTTGATCTGGAGCTCCACCGGGTCCTCGCGCTCCTCCTGGCCCTGCTCGTCCCCCAGGTCTGGAGACATCGCCCTGGAGACACATACAAGATGGAGACAGACATGATGGGAGGAAGAACTGTGGTGTTTTATGAAAAGTGATGAGAAGCTATTAATATTCTAAGAAATTAATCAAACTGACAGTGACCAAAAGTCAAGAGTCCTATTGATGAGATAAGTATACCAGTATGTAGGTACTATTTATAATTCAGAAAATGTAGGTAGTCACCCCTCCACAGGCACGTCGTCTTCATGCTGGCTGATGGACGGCTCCACAGTCAGGATGACCTTATGCACCTCCCTCAGATGGCTGAAGTACACGCCCACGTAGCCAAATGCCTTCTCACAGAACTCACAGCGAAGCGTCCGGCGTGGTCGGCTCTCTGAGTGGTGCAGCTTCATGTGCGTGCTGAGGGAGCCGGAGTGGGCATAGGCCTTACGGCACACTGGACAGACATAAGGCCTACTGTTGGTGTGGCTGTTCATATGGCTCTGCAGGTGGTGTTTGAACTGGAAGCAGCGGCTGCAGGTGGGGCAGTGGTGGAGGGGCCGGCTACTGCCCAGGTAGACCCTCTGAGAGGAACTACCCCCTCTCAGGTGAAGCGGGGTAGAGGCTGACTGGGGCTGGGGAGGACCAGGCTCCAGGACCTTGGCAGAGAGTTGGTGCCCTACGAGGAGCTCTGGTTCCAGGCTGTCGGAGGAGGTGAGGGATGGCAGGCTGACCAGCTGGGGAACTGTCTCCATCAGCAGCATGTGGTGAGGCTTGGGTCTGATGCTGCGGTACTTCTTAGAGATGTCCACCTCCCTCTGCTGCGAGATGACAGCCGAAGGAGAAGGCTTCTCTGGAACCCTCCTCCGAAAGAACGACAAGGACCTCTTCTTCCTTGCCTCGAAGGCCAGAATATCCTCCATTGTCTTCCTCTTCCTCCCCCTCTTCTTGCCCGGTGGTTTCTGCATCTGAAGCGTTCCCAGCAGCGACAGGGTGCCTGTGGTCTTGGCCTGAGGCTGGCTCTGCAGCAGGGAGTTTGGCATGTGGTTCTGACAGAGGGCCTCGGCAGTCTCTGGGGTCTTGGACTGGGGATCAGAGGGATACGGGGTGAGGCCGGGCAAGCCAGGCTGGCTGGGGAAAGCCTTTTTGGGGGATATGGCATTGAGGTTGAGTTTGGTGGCAGGTATGAGGGTGCTTTTTATGTTGGAGTAGGGCAGGATGGGCAGCTTGCCTTTGGGTGGGGAGGGGATAATCTGGACAGCTTTGCTGAAGATGGCTGGAGAGAGGACGGTGATGCTGCTACTAGCTGGCTGTGGATGGGGCTGGGGCTGGGGCTGTTGGGCTACAGGCTTGGGTTGGCATGGCCTGACGCCCTTACCGTTGCGCTCCTCCTGTGGCAGTTTGATTGGGGAGCTTTTAGTAACACCACCAGATGGGTAGTGGAGGTTCTGCAGCATGCTGGTGATGGGGCCCGGGCCGGGGGCAGGAGTGGACCGGTGGTTGATGGTGGTGTCCACCACTGCTACTCGCTCCAGCGGAGATCCAGAGTAGAGCACAGCGTTGTCCGGGAGCAGGGCTGTGAGGGCTGAGATCTCAGAGGAGGCTGTGGAGTCGATCAGTATGACCTGTTTTGCTGGCTCCTCCTTGGGTTCCGGCGATGACAACTTCTTCTTTACCGCCGCTATCGACCTTTGTGGCCGGGTTGTCACGGCGGTGGATGTGGCTAATTTGACCTTCTCCGGGGTGCTCTTGGTCCTCATTGGCTGGTACCTGGGGATGGGCAGCTTCAGGTTCTTCTGGATTGGCTGTTGCTGCGGCTGTTGTTGCTGTGGAGATTGAGGGGATACGGAGGGCGGCAGGGCCACCAGAGAGAAGGTGCCCTCCTGTCCTGCTACCTGCATCAGGGCATAGTTCTGGGCCGGGACCAGGATGGATTTGGGGCTGACGGCTGTAGAGGCTGCCTCAGGGAGGGCAGAGGGGTGCTGGCAGGACAGGACGGGGGTCGGGGAGGGAACCACCGCTGCTGGGGCCTTTGGGGCGATGCTTCTGAACTGGAGGCTCTTCATCATCTAGCCTGGCATGGAGGTCTAGACCCAGACCTGTCTCAGTCTGTCAACAGAACAACAACAACAGTGAAGTTAGAGAGCTATTCCCAACAACAGTAACAACAACAAAACAGTTAGAGAAGTATTCCCCAACATAACATTGTAGCAGGTTTTGGCCACAGACCCTACTGATTGCATGCCATCATATGGCATAGAGGTTTACATTTGTTTGTCAATAGAACAACAACAACAATACTGATAGAGATACCCCCCGGCCCCAACGTAACATCCTGGCATATTTTTGGTCCCAGACCCCAATGATTATGTTCTCAGCAGGAGGGTTGACCTTAGTGTTCTTAATGGTGTCGTTACAAAGTGGTTAACAGTCTGAGATGAGAGACACAGGCTGCATCCCAAATGGCACCCTATTCCCTATATGGTGCACTACATTTGACCAGGGCCCATTTGGGATACATCCTGAGATGAGAGACAGACAGAGGCTGTCACTGACATGAACATTTCTGAGGCTTCCACAAGAAGACTATTATCCTGTGGGTCTTCCTGCACACACACACACTCACTGACAAAAATCCCTCCACACGCACACTACCCCCAGGCCCCTTTGATTTGGGCCCATCATGCAGCCTAGTTACCGCTGTGGCTCGGCGGGGTGCTCCCTGTACCCCCCTCCTCCCCCCTGTACTTCCTGGAAGGATCAGTCAGCAGAGCGTGAAAACTGCCCAAGGGCAGGACAGACAGGAGCTTTACATCAAGAGGGGTTTCCTCTGTGTGTGTGTGTTACGTCTGTTACTCACTACCTATCCTCTCCTGACCAGCAGAGGTAAAGCCTAGCTGTGGGGCTAAAACAGCCTTACTTACAAAGCCCCCCATTCTGAGACCCTAATGCCCCATATCGACGAATGATATTTCACAGTATAACACCGGGGATTAGGCTTTAAAGTCAGCTTGTACAGTAATTTTGGATGTCGAAGATCAAAAGGCCAAGGAAGATTTGAGTAAGGAGGAGTACAGATAAATGATTCTGACTACTTTATGAAAGGTGTAGAATGGTCATAAACTTCATCTGAGCTACTTTACCAACTCTAGTAGGCATGTATAGGCCTATACTGAAGCAAAAAAATGAAATACAAAATCCAAGTAAATATCCATATACATGTCTGTTTGAAAAGAAAGATTACGGCGGAATGTTTCAAATGAATGTGATTGTAAACAGATGATTTTGAGAGGAGTTGAATTTTAAAAAATTTATACGACTTTCAATACCAATACCAGTCTTATCGTGGGCTTGTGTCCAAGTTGTGTGCATGATACCTGCCAGATTCAGAATAACCACCAGGGTCTAGATGTGACATAAAGGGTATCTACTCTCACGTTGCTACACCTAACCAATCTATCAACTTTCAAAGGACTTAGGCTGAACCAAATCTTGCATTCATTTCAAAAGAGGGAAAAAGGATATAAACCCACATTGTTCAAAACCTGGAAGTATTTCAGTGTGAGAGCAGATTATTTATACAGTGTCCACACAGCATCTTAACTGCATACAACTGGAAATATTCCCTCTCTGTTTGGATAGTTGATTCCAATTCAACTGTGAGTTTGGCCATTTGGCCGTTTGGCCGGACATTCAGCCAACAGAGGAGAGTACAGCGGTGGGATATCTAGAATGCTCCCAGGACTTGATGGGGGCACGGATGGGGTGTTTGTGTGTGTGTGTGTTTGGCACTGACAGGCTACCCAGGAGGTTCCTCCCATCAACTCAGAGTTTACAGTTGAACCCCAAGAGGGAAAGGGAGGGAGCGTATGATGTAGCCGAGCTGAAGCCAAGCAACCAACCACAGGCAGCGTTGGGCCAGGCCAGCGTGTGGGGCTGCTGTCGGCTTAAGTCAGACTGATGACTTCTCACGGGAAAGACTGGCTGAGAACAAAGACAGAATGGTGATAGTAAACGAAAGAGAGTGAGAAAAATGAGTAGACACTGTAAGTGTCCAGTGGTCTGATCTGATGAGAATTGATAGCAGTGTAGCACTGCAGCTGGTGTGTTATAACTGAGGAGGAGTAGCTGCAGCTATGCTCCTACAGTGTCCCAAATGGCACACTATCCCCTATATAGTGCACTACTTTTGACCAGAGCCCTATGGACCCTGGTCAAAAGTAGTGCACTATATAAGGAATAGGGTACCATTTGAGATGCAGTCCTAGTCTCCAGAGGTGGTGTGCTGCTCCAGTAAAACACACCAGATGACTTCCCAGACTAGGGCTGCCACAGGAAGTACACTGGTGGGGAAGGAGACAGACAGGAGGACTGGAGTGGTGTTGAAGACTATAGCCTAAGGCTAGCTACATCCTGTCATCCAGTCAGAGTGTATGTGTGTGTGTATTTAAACCACAAATTCCAGATCAAGATCAAAATCCTAGAACTGCCATCTCTCCCCTCTGCCTTCTATTTCTTCGTTTGCACCCTGCTCCTCGCCACCTCAATAAATACCAGCCCCGCTACCTCTCTCTCATCTGTCCATCATGTTTCTCTCTCGTTCCTTCTCCTCCTCTGCCTTTCTTCAGGCCCCTCCTCCTTCTGTTTCCCTCTCTCTTGTTTAGGGATTCACCTCTCAGTGTGCGTTCCTATCTGCATAATGATGATGCCAACATCCCTCCCTCACTCCTCCCCCCTTTAGCCACATGTCGACCTGCCCTGGGGCGAGGGGCCTCGCTGTTGAGGCCCCAGTGTCAATCACATTATAGCTCCACAACAGATGATGATGAAAGAGAGAATGAGAGAGAGCAAGCAAGAAATAAATGAAAAGATAGAGAGAAAGAGGAAGAGATTGACAAAGAGAAAGGTAGTGAATAGCTAGTAAACCCCTGTAACCCATTGTTCTTTTCTCCCAGTGTATGATAGGCCAAGGGGGTAGTCGTACGGTGGTGTTGTGGTGAATAGGGGGGTGGTGTATTGTGTATTGGGGGGGGGTCATTTTAGTCATTTAGCAGACGCTCTTATCCAGAGCGACTTACAGGAGCAATTAGGGTTAAGTGCCTTGCTCAAGGGCACATCAACAGATTTTTCACTTAGTCGGCTTGAGGATTAGAACCAGCGACCTTTCGGTTACTGGCACTACGCTCTTAACCACTAAGCTACCTGCCGCCCTATAGTAGTCTATTAGGGACAGCCTCCCCAGCACACCTGTGACTGATGATCATGATATAAGTACAGCAGGGAGCAGCAGCAGAGACACACAGGGTCGTCTCAGTGGCAAGCTAGTGGGGTTAACTGGAGCGAGAGAGCAGAATGGGAGAGGAGAAGGGGTGAGAGGAGGAGGGGAGAGGACGAGACATTGGTTTAACCAACATAAATCCCACCCCACAGATTTCTGACTGCTCCTCCCAACCTGGACTCGTATCAGACAGCTACATTTTTGTTGTTATTGGAGTAGAGAGCGTTTTGATTGGCTGAACACACAGACAAGGAGGAGATCAATGTTAATACTGGGCAGGCTTGCGTCATATTACATGAGTATGAGCAGTGTGGGTCTAAACATAAAACAAATATGCCAGAAATCGATTTCTTTGTATGTGATAATACGTGTCTATACTGTTTGAATTAACCTCAAAATACTAGTGTTGTATTTAATGAGCTTTCTACATATTCTGTCTTTCCCAGTAGAGACGTCTCTACCCAAGCCTCAAAGGGAAGAGGTTACATGAGGTCACAGACAAAGACACTTAATCTGGTGCAGGCTTCAAAATGCCAGCCACTCTAATCTACCAGGGTTCAGGGGTCAGGGATGGGCTGAGGACGGACGGACAGGGTTTCTCTGGTAGTAGAAGGAGAGAGAGAGAGAGAGAGAGAGAGAGAGAGGGAGAGAGAGAGAATCAGAAAGAGAGACAAGGAGAGAGCGAGACAAGGATAGAGAGAGAAAGAGAGATGGAGAAACAGAGAGAGACCAGGAGAGAGAGAGAGAGAGAGAGAGAGAGAGAGAGAGAGAGAGAGAGAGAGAGAGAGAGAGAGACCAGTAAACTATGGCTGTGCCGTCCGAGCCAGCCCTTCCCAGGGTTAGCCAGATTAGCAGGTAAGGCCAAGAGGTGAAAGGTGAGGTCTGGTGTTTACGTTAACAGTCAGGTCGCCAGGGTTACGGTAGGGGCATTGCTGTGGTCGGATCAGTGGGACAGTTCACTTGACATATCCATCCGCGTGGAATGGAATGTGCTGAAGAGGCTGGATTGATCGGATGGATATGGGTGGATACAATCCAGCGGTCAATGGGTCATGCTGCAGCCAGACAGACAGAGGCTACGTTCCAAATGGCACCCCTTTCCCTAAATAGTGCACTACTTTTGACCAGAGCCCTGGTCAAAACTAGTGCACTATATATGGAATAGGGTGCCATTTGAGACACAGCCAGACAGGGAGAGCAGCCAGTAGCCCAAATAATTCACTGACCGGCCGCTGATCTGATGTCTCCCTGTCAAATTGTATTTGCCACATGCGCCGAATACAACAGGTGTAGACAATACAGTGAAATGCTTACTTACAAGCCCTTAACCAACAATGCAGTTTTTTAAAATAAAAAATAATATTTAAAAAAGTGTTAAGTTAAAAATAGATAAGTAAAAAATAAAAGCAAATAACTAAAGAGCAGCAGTAAAATAAAATAACAGTAGGGAGGCTATATACAGGGGGGTACCGGTACAGAGTCAATGCGCAGGGGCACCGGCTAGTCGAGGTAATTGAGGTAATATGTACATGTGGGTAGAGTTAAAGTGACTATGCATAAATAATAAATAGAGTAGCAGCAGTGTAAAAGAGGGGGATGGGGTGGGGTGGGGGGGGGGCAGTGCAAATAGTCCAGGTAGCCATGATTAGCTGTTCAGGAGTCTTATGCCTTGGGGGTAGAAGCTGTTAAGAAGCCTTTTGGACCTAGACTTGGCGCTCCGGTACCGCTTGCCGTGCGGTAGCAGAGAGAACAGTCTATGTCTTGGGTGGCTGGAGTCTTTGACAATTTTTAGGGCCTTCCTCTGACACCGCCTGGTATAGAGGTCCTGGATGG